ATGGGTAAGCAACCAATTGCATCAATTAACACCTCAACTTCTGGAATTTCTTCCTCCTCGAGATGCATATGTTCCTACTTAAATTGATGAGTCTGCTGGTGTTTTTCCTCAAAACACAGGTGGTGGTTGTTGGCATAGGTGATTTGGGTGGTGTTGGTGAGGTTGTGTGGTGATGGTGCTGCGGTAGATCTAGGAAGGATGGTGGCGGTGGTTGTTGGCGGTGGTTGTTGGCGGTGGTGATTTGGGTTTTCTGTGACTAAAAATATAATCTGTGACCTTAAAATTCTATAATCTGTGACTAAAAATATAATTTGTGACCAACCATTTTTTTATCTGTGACATAAAAATTATATAATCTGTGATCGTAAAAAAATATGTGACCAATTAATTTGAAAATCTGTGACTGTGTGACCTATAAACTTTGATCTGTGACTAACTAATTTTGAAATCTGTGACCAACGAATTAATGTGATTTATAAAATTTTTGAACTGTGACCGTAAATTGTAAATCTGTGACCAGAATGGTCACCAGAATAATTGTCGGAATCGGAACACTCGCTGGAACGGTCACCGAAGAATAGTGGTGGTTGGAATGGTAGCCGGTTATCAAGGGCTTTGCCATACCCACCACGTACACCCTACCCAATATTATATTATATTAGAATTAAATATTTAATAATAAATTGATTTAATAATTTATTATTTCATAAATAAAAAATAAAATAAAAAACCTATTTTTTGAATTTTCAAACTATAAACCTGATTTTTGAATTGGTGTAAAGAATATACCTTATTTTCCCTAAATTTTTAATGTCCATCAAAGTCTGTGTGTCAAAGCCCATTTTGATAACAAATTCCGCATCTTTCCTGCCATATTAAATTGTAATTTGCACCAATGTCCAACAATATTTCATAATGTGTATTCTAGCCCTCAAGTCCAATTAATTGTGCAACCAATGTCCTTCTTAGTTCAATTCAAGCCCTTCAATTTCTAACATGTGGAATTAGTCCCAAACATCCATCCAATGGCCAATTTATCTTTCTTCCCTTTTCAATTGTTTCAAAATGAGTACATAACTGAAAACAAAAGGAAACTAACCAGAGATAAGTAAAAATAATACTTTGACGATATAATAGCTTAGTAATATGAAACTAAATTAAATAGAACTGTTGTCCTTCATAGTTGTAGCAATAAACCATCTATAAACTGCTGACTAATATTAAACTAAAATGCAAATAGACTCTTCCATGTTTAAATCGGGCATAAATAAGCAGTCGAGAAAATCAATATATAGATTACTAAAGCATGAGATTTAAATTTTCAATTCTTTTTCCTGTATGGATTTCACCCTTTTCATCATTTTGATTTTTTTACTTTAAAGATAATAAAAAGGAAAAAGGTGATTTTTAGCATTAATGGAGAGGTTAGACAAATGAGGCAAGTTTGAATTGTACGCAGCATGTCATTTACGTATTAGCCCGGCTTGAAATCCGGTCCTGAATCCATCCCTGACGAAGTCTATATTTATGGTTCACGAGACTGATCATTATTTTTTGGCAAAACAAGAGAAATACGTGAAAATCTTAAAACTAATTCTCTCTAAATTCAGTTGGTGGCCATAAACTGTTCGTAGTGTTGAAGTTATAATTTTTTCTCGTCGTGTAGATTTCTGTTAGAAGTTGGACATCTGATCAGATTTGATAATTTGGGATCATGTATATCAGATTTAGAAATCGTCCCAACTTATAAAAATTACCACATGTACACATCCTACCATAGATGCTATCTAAACACAATGGTGATCCGACTTTCGGATATTGAATTTTGTTGTTGACATACAAAAATGAGGCTCAATTAAATGGTNAGACCATATAAAAACCCAAGATGGAGTTATGTAATGGAGGCACATCATCGCTCAAGCCTACGAGACACCAAGACGCCCAAGATCTGTCCGAGCTCATCATCGCTCCAGCATGTGAGATGCCCAAAATCTGGGCTAATATAGTGTCTTGACTGCTATTCTAAGCAACTATTGTTGAAGCAGTAAATGGATAATCTTATCACATTCCACGATCCAAGAATCTCGGTTGCGAGAAGTTAAGCAATGGGAGTAATGGCAACGGTTGAAAACGATGGTTTCTTAACAAGTCATCCATTATGGAGAAAGTGGGTAGTTACAGGGCGATGAGCGATTTTCAAACGGTTCTACAAGAAAAACTGTCAAATGAGTATAAAAAAGAAAGAAGAATTTAGAAGAAAGTGAAATAAAACGACTCTCAAACAGAGAATTATGTAATTTCATTTCTTTATTCTTGTTAACTTTCAATTACTTTGCGAATTCAGTGTGCTTGTGCCTCTTGGAGGCATTTTGCTTCCTTGGAATTTGTAATCTTCATAAATAAAACACCCATCGTTCGGACTTTATCTCGAGAGGTTGTTGTTCCTTACACAATCGTCTGAACTTTCTTTTAATTGTTAGTGAGACTCGATTTCCATGCGAAACAATTGGGACGCCCAGTGAGACACTTGGTGTTTGAAGCAATATGCCTCATAAAAACTCTGATAAGGAGCTAAAAAGCCAACGAATAGTCCAATTTGTGATCGAATGATATGAAGAGCAGCAAAGTACTTCATAAATAGAGGGACAGAGTCAAAGTTGTTACGAGTCAATGAAAAAATTGAGCCCTCGAACCATGTGTGCATTGTTTGGGGACTCACACAAGATGTCGTTGAACAGTTAAATTTATAGAATGTTCATAATATGGAAATGTTTCCTCAAAATCGAAATGTACACTATGACAACATGGCCAAACAACTGAACACTTTGAATGAAATCATGAATAAGTTAGTAGGCCAAATTTGTCAACCAGTTATGCCAAGTATAGGGAATCACTTTCAAGCCAGAACGATTATGAGACATAATTCCCCTGGGTATGAATCAAGGAGTAGAACCACCTTTTGGACCATTTACTTCAAACCAGAGGGCAGTGGAATGGCCAATTTGAATAGCGGTAATGGAATAACAAACCTATGGGGCAACCCAAGTGCTAGAAACAATGTCCAAACCAATGGACAGAACACCCCGCACGTTAATGATGACAGAAATACTCAGGCTAACGGTAATAATGGTTTAAATAACGGCGTTTTTGTTGCAGACTAAGGACCAAACATTAGGCCTCAAGTAATTTCACCAATGAATCAACCTATAGGAGTTCTATATGATCCCAACGTTGTGTTGAAGAATCAAATTATGGAGATAGTACAGGATCAAATGACTTTTGGGATACGTCCTTTTATTAGGACGACTTATACAAAGCCATATCCTGATTAGGTAGATCAAGAGTATCCTTGACCTAGAGGGTACAAAGTACCAAAATTTCATTGTTTACCGGTCTGAGAGAAGTTTCTACTCTGGAACATATAGGGTGATTCACACTGCAAAGTGGTGAAGTAACTAATTATCATAAAATGAGAATGTTTCCTACTTCGTTAACAGGAGTAGCTTTTTCATGGTTCATTAATTTGCCAACAAATTATGTCCAAACATGGCAACAACTAGAACAATTGTTCCCGCTGAGTTTTACAAAACTGAATCTGAAGTTACTTTGGTCGATTTAGCGAATTTACGTCAAACGCCAAACAAATGGGCAGAAGGTTTCCTTCAGAGGTTTAAAATAGTTAGGAGCAAATATTTTGTACCTTTGCCGGAAAAAGAATTTCTCAAAATCGCTTAAAGTTGTTTGAGTTTTGATTTAAAAAACAAATTCTAAGATAGAGAATTTCCTGACTTTTTTCAACGGAGTGCTAACGTGATTAGATATGAGTGTTTGATAAGAGAAGAAGAACAAATGAAAAACTCTAGCAAATGGACTTATTATAGAGACCCAAATTTCGATGTTCATGCTGTTCATGACGAATATTACGATCAGACAGAAGTGTGTTTGACCGAATTGATTAAGGGAGACGCATATGCTTGTCCTANGTATAAGGATAAGTAGATAAAATTGAGTGACAAGCATAAATTGTCAGACACTGAACAAGTTAAGGGTAAAAAATATTGTAAATGGGAAAATGCATGGTCACATATGACTAATAATTGCTTGGTCTTTCGGCATGTGTTACATGATGCCATTGAGTCAGGGCGAATCACATTCGAAGCTAAGAAGAAAATGGCAGTGGATGAAAATCATTTCCCACAACCACTTGGTGTGAACATGGTGACAACTGGTTTCAAGAATAAGTTGCCAAGATTCAAGTTTGTTGTAGATGATGGAGAAGAAGATTCTGAGTCATATCCCAGTGTTTTTAAACGTATCAAAGGAAAGGAGCTTAGAGAAGAAGAAAGCATCTTGTGTGCTAGATGTAAGGGAGAAGTGAATGCAAATATGGAAAGAGCAGGAACGTGGCGATATCACCACCGTCCTGATGTTGTCCCAAATTTTCAGCCCGATGGAGGACAAAATATGTCATCTTATGGGGAATCGCCTTTTAAGAGGCAGTTCAGACCGATAAACAATGGGAGAACATTCAGGCCGCAACCTCACCAACTAAATGTATGGCATTCGTTCCAATATAATACAGGAAGGGTTGTACCTTTCAACGAAATGAACAAAACCCAACAAAGGCATTTTCAACGGAGCTATGGACGAATGATAAGGCAACAATAGGGGTCGTCACGTCCTAAGGTACCCAAGTTGCTTAAGGTGGCTAACAAAAATGTTTTTAAAGATAATAAAGAGGTTGGTATGGGCGAATCAATGAAAGAGTTACCAGAAAGTTCTTTTGGGAGATCAAAATTTGAGCGTGAGAAGAAAGATGAAGAAGATGGTGCATGAAATGGGAGAGGTTTTTGTGCTGGGGCTCTTGGAAGCCCACAGCTGCTGCCCCGTCCTTTAGCTTCCACTCCAGTTGACCTCTCTTGTTTCCATCCCC